AAGGGCAGGTTCTGACTATCACAGGGTAGTTCAGGGAAAGCGGTCCTGTGTGACGATGCCTTACGTTGAAAGAAGGTTGACAAATGTTCCTTTGCTTATTTTGAGGAGGGTCATCTGGTAAAATGCTTTGCTGCGGTAGTCTGCTCTGGGAATTTACTTGTGAAGCTTGGTTATATTTTTACCGCATTGCCTTGAGAAACACACCTGCAATTGCGATTCATTATCAGATGAAAACATGCCCCACGAAGGGGGCCCACAATGCTCTGATGTCTTTTTTGTTTTCAACTGTTTATTTTGATGTCTTTTTAAGAGAAAGCTTACTCATATTTAGTCAGACTTGCCCAGACCCTCAGGCTGTCTCGGTTTGAAGTTACTCACCTGGGAAAGCTGCATTTTTCACCTTCTGACTACCTTTTTTGCACACTGGAGACTTATACTGGCCTATGGTACCTGGCAGTTTAAAGGAATACATGTATTTTTATGGGACAGAGTCCACATACACTTTTCACATTTAAAACTCTTTCTACCATCAGTGGGATAACAGACACACAAGTGCTTTAAAATGGAAAAAAAAAGGATTTTATTAAAATATAGTTATTATCATTACTAATCAGAATAATTTTCTATTTTTATTATATTTCTATCTCTCTCTTTTTATAAAGATTTTATTTATTTATTTATTTATTTATTTATTTATTTGAGAGACAGAGAGTACAAGTGAGAGAGTACAAGCAGGGGGAGCAGCAGAGGGAGAGGGAGAAGCAGGCTCCCCACTGAGCAGGGAGCCTGATGCGGGGCTTGATCCCAGGACCTGAGCCGGAGGCAGCCACTTAACCAACTGAGCCACCCAGGCATCCCTCTATCTCTCTTTTGAATAGCCAGTTTCAAGGATACAATTCTAGAGAGTAAGTTGGAAACAAATGTCCTTGGCCACGCCCTTGTCCTCTCCCTGGCCTGCTACCAGCCCCCCCCTGAGTAGGAGGGAGACAGTTGGGCTCTTGCGCCCTCCGTCCAGGCATGGCACTCCTTGCTCAGATCAGTACAGGCTCAGAGTTGCCAGAGAAAGCAACCAAAAGACAGAGACAAGCCAAAAAACTCAGTGGTAGATGTATGTTTGTGATAAATCAGAGGACGGGAGAGCAGGGAAAGGAGATGTGGGCTAGTATCTCAGGGGCTAAGGTACCTTCACCACGAGCTGCAGGAGGAAGGGGGACAGGATGCAATCAGAAGTTCCCATCATCAGCCTAAGGAGGAGCAGAGAGCAAGAGTTTGGGAGGCTGAGGAAGGAGGCCATCTCCCGAGGTCTCTGGAGCAGTGTCTGAGGGGAGCAGATTGTGGGTTGGATTTTCTGGGGTCAGCAAAGTCCCTTACCAGGTCTCTAAGCCCTGCTTCCATCTGATCCTATTTTACCTTGAGAGAGACTCAATCCTGCCCCTCTATCCCGGGCAATCTAGCAGGACTCGAGCACTGAGAATTGAGTGTTGCTGCTTGAGCTACTGATGCTGGGCAATCCCACTGTCTTGCCAACCTCTTTTCTGCATTTATTATTATGATCCTGCAATTTTTTTTCTCTTCTAGTATTTAATGGGATGAATTACATTAGTAGATTCTCTAAAGTTGATCCACTCTTGGATTCCTGGTTTTAGTCTATGCAATTACTGGGATGTTTTTTGTTTTGTTTTGCTTGTTTTGTTTTGTGTTTTCCAGCACAGTTCCTCTACTTGTTATTTGAATGATTGATCTAGGACTCGGCCTAAATTTTCTTCTAATATTTGTTAACTGGCTACACGGCCAATATGCCTGTGGTCTTAGTGATGCACCAACATAAGGATGGTCTTTGCTTGAAAAAGATCATCATAGTCATAGAGCTTACTAAAGTACAGGCTGCCCAGTTAAATTTGAATATCAGATAAACAACAAATAATTTTTTAGTATAAACATGTCCCATGCAATATTTGTGTGGCCTCTACTTACACTGAATTGCATGAGATGTACTTACACTAGAAAAAAAGTGTTTATTTGAAATTTACATTTAACGGGTGTCCTATATTTTTATTTGCTAAATCTAGTAATCTTGACCATAAAAAACAAGCATTATGTTTAAAAAAGAGTACATTAATTTTTAAATTAATATTGTCAATGGAAGATAAAAGCACATGTCAGCAAACCCTAATAACCACTGGGCTCCTGTTTCTGAAAACTACAATGGGGCGGGGAAGCAGGAAAGAATAAAGACATTGTAACTCATATACAACAAAGACACATAGAAGAAAAGTTCAAATTTCCAAAACAAACTAGATTTGGTGGTTTTGTTTCGAGGAAAAGAAACCAAAACACCACCACCAACTGGACCCTGCTCTGGTAGATAACTCTCCTTTCAAACCACCTTCTTCAATTAATCAGGAGATGCTTCTGTGCTGTCATCCCCACCCCCAGGCAGATTTTTCTATTCATTTTATGATACAGAAATGTTATTTCTTTTTCAAGTTTTCAAATCAGCTCTTACTGGCTTGAAATTTATCATCTATGGAATTTGTATTCCTTTTGTATTCCTTTCAAAATCTCCCCAAAATGTTTGTGACTACCTGGCCTTTCTGCAAATTGTCATGCTGCTCAATGTATATTTTCTGGGTCTGAACTCCATCCCTAGTTTGAGAGGAAGACGGATAAGAATACTTTCTCAGGGAGCACCTGGGTCCTCAGTCAGTTGAGCATCTGCCTTTGGCTCAGGTCATGATCCCGGGGTCCTGAGATTGAGTCCCGTATCAAGCCCTACATCGAGCCCCACATCGGGCTCCCTGCTCAGTTGGGAGCCTGCTTCTCCCTCTCCCTGCTGTTCGTACTCTCTCTTACTCTCTCTCTCTCTGACAGATAAATAAATAAAAATCTTAAAAAAAAAAAAAAAAAGAATACTTTCTCAGTACTACTCGTGGATGTGGCTACATAATATTCTCTACAGGAAGAGAAGCAGTAACTCTTGCCTGTTTGGGTGTGAGAAGACAGAAGTAAACTATACATAGAAAGATTTGGGATCGTTAACATTTTGGAATAAAATAAAATGTGGTTAACTAAAAAATCATATTTATCCAGGTATTACCACAGTTTCATTTTATTATTTAAATGGTTATGATTTTGTCATGAATACATGTAAATGTTGGATAAATTTCATGTCATTCCTCACGCAGTCTTGTGCCTATAACGTACCAGACACTGTTCTAGGTCCTGGGATATAAAGGCGAAGGAGACCAGGTCCAAGCCTCCCAGGGCAGACACGGGTAAGTGGGGACAGTGGCACATAAACCAATAACTAAAATACAGTTTAATAAAAGCAATTGTGTATGATTGTTTGTGTATGGAGTCCCATGAGGGCATGGGAAAGGAAGGTCTTCATTCATCTGGGGGTGGAAGATTCAGGAAATCTTCACAGAGGAGGAGATCCTTAAAATGAATCTCAGGAGTTCATCAAGCCAAGATGTCAGGGAAAGGCATTACAGTTGAAACACATAGAAAGGCTCAGAGTTTGGCACATTCAAGCAGTTGTACCCTCAGCCGTGCGGTGGGGAGTGTCAGGGTTAAGCAGGAAAGGATCTCAGGACAACTCATAAGGGGCTTGAAATGATGTCAAGGGGTTTGGAAGCTAAGGAAAGGAAATCCCACTGAAGGGTAAGTGCAGGAGGAAATGATTACTTTTTGTCATAGAGTTATTGCTCTGGACATTACGTGGAATTGGTTTTGGAGATGAGACTAAAGGCAAGGAGATAGGTTAAGAAGTTAATGAAGTAGATGAGGTAAGCGCTAACAAGGGCCTAAACTAGCAGGGAGCTAAGGAGTTCCGCTCTGGACATGCTGAGCCCAAGGTCCCTGTGACATGTCCAAGGAGAACTGAGGACGAGAATGCAGGTCTAGAGCTGGGCAGCTAGGCCTGGGGGGAGGTGGTTTTTTTTGGAATCATTAGCCGAGGAGTGAGATGAAAGCTATGAACATGGATGCCATGGCTCAGGAAGGATATAAGGAATAAGAAATAAAAGATAGACATTACTATGAAAGGACCAGGTGGAAGAGAAAGACTCCTAACCCCAAAGTGGAAGGAAGCAATCAAGGTCATAGGAGATCAAGGAGAAAATGTCATCATAAGACCCAAGGAAGAGGAGCATTTCTATAATTGATTAATTATGTTAGGTGATACAGAGGAAGACGTGTAATATGGACAGAACTGGGTCCCTTCGGTTTAGCGATTAGAAGGCACTGGTGATCCAGAGAGAGCAATTTGAGTGGCTGTGCTTGATACAGTAGCCAGGTTGCAGTGGGTTGAGATAAAGGCATGTTGACTGTCTTTCAGAGATTGGGAATTATAGAAAGGAAAGATAGAGGAAAGCTTGAGAAGAACTCAGAGGTGCTCTAGTTATTTTTCATTATGAATGTATACCTACCCTTTTTTTTTTTAAAGTGTTGATATTGTTTAGATCCTAATTTGAACAGAACAACTATTAAAAAACATTTACAAGATAATTATCAGAGCTAATTAGACATTGACTGGGTATATGATGATATTAATTTTTAAAGCAATAATTGTATTGAGGTTATACTTTTTTTTTTAAGATTTTTATTTATTTATTTGAGAGAGAGAGAGAATGAGAGAGAGCACATGAGAGGGAGGAGGGTCAGAGGGAGAAGCAGACCCCCTGCCAAGCAGGGAGCCCGATGCAGGACTCGATCCAGGGACTCCAGGATCATGACCTGAGCCGAAGGCAGTCGCTTAACCAACTGAGCCACCCAGGCGCCCAGGTTATACTTTTTTTAACATGCTTTTTTAGAGAACAATGTAACAGATAACCGAGTACCCACCACAAATTTTCTTACACTTTTCCATATTGACCAGAGGATGGTTTGGCAAACTTTTTCTTAAAGATCAGAGAAAGCAAAAGGCAGTTTTCATTTAACCATTTAAATATATAAAAGCCATTCGTAGTTCATGGGTCCAAAAAAAACAGGATACTCACAGAGACTGGCCAATGGGTCATTTGCTGTCTTCAGAACTGTCATGTTTTTTTCTGAAAGGAACACATCAGAGATGTAGCTGAAGCCCTCCTTGTACTCCTCCCCGATCTCATTCCCCTCCCTACCTCTCCAAAGGTAACTGCTCTCCTAAAGTTAACGTTATCGGTCCCAACTTTTCAGATATGCCTATATCCCTAAGCAATATAAGCATAATTTGGAGTGTTTTTAGAAACTTTAAATAAATGTAATCATTCTGTGCATAATAATCTTCAAGTGGCTCTTTTGGCCAACACTACATTTGAGATTAAGTCATCTTCATACATTTGGACTAGTTCGTTAATTTTACCTGTTGTATGCTATCTCATTTTGTGACTATATTAAGTTTCATGTATTCTTCTGGACATGCACATTTAAGTTGTTTCTATTTTTTCCATCTTTACAAACAATGCTACAATCAACATTATTGGCCATGACTCTTTGCTGCACATTTGCTTTTGATCTGGGGTATATACCTAGGATTGAATTGTTGGGGTTGTAGGGTATGAACATATTCAGCTGACTAAATATTTCCAAATTGTTCTCCAGGCTGATTGTATAGAAAAATTTCCTTTTCCAGTCATCTGGTATAGTTGGTAACCTGAAAAATTCTCCCAATATGCAACACTTAGAGATCCTGAATGAAATATAAGAGGCAACTTTTTACATGTATAAAGAAATCTCAAAAAAGCAAGGAAATCCCCAGGCTCCAGAAAATGTTTTAAAAAAGAAGAAGAAGAAAAGAAAAAGATGATATAGGAAATTTAAATTCAGAGACAAATTTACCTATGGGGATTTCCTAGAACAAAGGTTTGGGCCCATAGGGACATAAGAGGCTATAATGCGTTCAGGGGCTCCTGTCCATCTCTTGGGTTAAAAGTTAAAGCTAAAACACCAGGCCATGGAAAGAAAGAAAGAAAGAAAGAAAGAAAGAAAGAAAGAAAGAAAGAAAGAAAGAAAGAAAGAAAGAAAGAAAGAAAGAAAGAAAGAAAGAAAGAAAGAGAGAGAGAAAGAGAGAGAGAGAGAGAAAGAAAGAGAGAGAGAGAGAAGGAAGGAAGGAAGGAAGGAAGGAAGGAAGGAAGGAAGGAAGGAAGGAAGGAAGGAAGGAAAGAAGGGCGAGGGGAGGGAGGAAAGGAAGGAGCAATGATTTTGGCAAAGTTCTAATCAGTCAGGTGTGTCACGCCCAGGCTGATCTCACCATCATCCTGATGCTGTGCACCCTGGCCCCCTTTTGATTTTCAATTTGATCTACTTCTTTCTCCTTGGCAATAACTTTGGCATCCTTGTCTACCTGCTTCTGGAATTGACCTGCCCCCACAGCCGACTCTGCTTTGTTGGCTTGTACATTTCATAAGGTTTTGGCACCTCCTCATACAACTCCTGGAGTCTGAGCCCTGAGGCCTGCTCAGCCTGTCCCCTCTCCGTCCCAAGGCTGGGCTTTAAGCCTGAGGTCCAAGCACCACCAGCTCTGCTCAAGCCTGGCACATCCCTGCCTCCATATCTTCCCAACACTATTCTGTGGTGACAGGACTAGGTTGTGTTGGGAAAGTATTTATAGTAACCTGGTGCTGGAATCAGAAAATCTGGGTTTCTGTCAAATGGGGTGAAGTCATCTCCTGTGTGCCAGAGTGCGTCCTCAGTGCCCCCAAGATTTCTATCATGAATGGGAATCGACAGATACAATGAGCTACAAGATTAGGTCTACACACATGGCAGATAAAAGTTATCAGAAAATACTATGTTTTTTTTAAAAAGACATAAAAGAAGGAATAACTAACACAAGAAAAAAATAAAAGCAAGACAGTATACTTTTTTTCTGGAAATGAATAAAATTTTCTAGAGTGAAAAATATTACTGAAATGAAAAGCCCAACGAACGGGTTAAGCAGCAGGATAGGCTAGGGGATTGCACAAACCCTCCCACCAGTGGTGCGGAGTTCCTGTTTCTCTACATCTTTGCCAACATTTGAGGGTGCTGCAAACTCGACACAGGTAGGCAGATTGCAGGTCGTATTGTTTCTTTGCAGAATTGGGCCCATCCCAGCCAAGATCCAGCCCTCTTCTGGATCCTTGGATCAGGCTTTTAGACACAGAGGGAGTTTAAATCCCAGTAAATCCCTTTCTGCCTGTTTTTTGGGTCCCTGATTCAGTCCTTGGGGTCAGCTCTCAGCAGGGCTCTTCCACAGGGCTCTCCCACAAGGCTATGCTTTTTCTCCCTGGTTCCCACACCCTGACACCTCTTACCAGTGACTTCCAAATAAAGTGACTTCATCATTCCACTTTTCCTGCTTCTGGTCTTCACTTTGCTAATCCCCAGATGCTCTGTTGCTCACTCTGCACCTTGCAGCCCTTCCCTTCCCCCTCTACAAGCCAAAGTTAAACCAACTCTCTCCATCCCTTTTCCTATAGGCCAGTCTCTGACCCAACCAAACAAATACAGCTCCTTTATTAATATGCAATAACCTTAGACCCTAACTGAGGGAGTCTAAGATGTATGTGATACATCTACAGTTGGAAGGATACCACAGACATATTTTTCTAAACCTGAAACTAGACACATATCCTGGCAGAACCTAAAAACCCAGAGGTGTTATGGCATATGTTAGAGCTTGGATTCCTGAGACTGAATCTTACTTAGATCCACTATTTAGCTGTGTGACCTGAGGCAAGTCACTTAGCCTCTCTGTGCCTCCATTTTCTCATGTGTAAAGCCCCTGCAGTACTAGAACCCACTATATAAGGTCGTTAGGAGAACTAAATGAGTGAGCATATGTAGATTATTTAGAAGGGCACCTGGCATACAAGGAGGACTATATGTGTTTGCTCTCATCATTATTACTACTTGAAACTGGAACTGTCCAAGGCAATAGCAGATACCAGTCACATTCACCGAAATGAGATCAGTGTCAGAAAGCGCAGCTCCATGCATGCAACTAGTATTTTCTTTAATTCTTTCTTTTCTTCTCAAGGTGTATCTACGAATTACATGGTTCTTACTCTTCTGAAACAGTGCAGAAAATCTCCCAGTCTTTCCGGCCAAACCTGGTGTTTAGTCCTGGCCACCAGAACAGTTCCAGCCTCCTTGTTTCTGCCTCGTGTCCTTAGCTCTCCTTTTACAAACCATCCTGCCCATCTCAGCTAATAAATCCCATGGTTTCGGTGTCTGGGAAGTTGCTTTGAGCTCTCTGATAGTGTTAGGCTAACATTGACAGGGCACAGGGCAAGAAGCCAGGTGAAAATGACTGCCTCACTCCCTGGACAGAATGTCGCCTTGACACTGAGTCTGAATTTTCTTAGCGTCCAACACTGGCCAAGATACCCAAACCCACAGGTTTTCTTTAACTGTGCTCATCTGTTTGGTCAAAATCCCAGAAAAGCTGTTTTCTCATTTCTCTCCTGGTGACTTCTAAGTAGATTATTTCACTTGGGATAGTGATCAAGACTGCAGCAGGCTCTCCGTATAAAAAGAAAGGACACTGACTGACTCTGAGGTATTGATTCTGGGCCAGGAAACCGCTGATACCAGATTATGTTACCTGTCTGTGGTTGGCTTGACTTGAGCTATATACTGGAATATGCTTGCAAGGAGGGCTGTCAGGCTGTTCAGTAGACTGGATTCTACTACCAAACATCTCCAAGATGCTTTCTGAAGAATTCAAGGAAATACGAGTACGACACCTACACACTAACTCATGGTCTGAGGCACCATTAGCTCAAAAGGGTAGACATTAATTAATTTAAAAATAGATAATCAGTCTTTAATTTATAAGCGACTTCCCCTTGGCTTTGGTTATCTAGCTTTTTGTGAGTGGGCATTTTTGCATTTTCTGACATTGGAAATCCAGACCGGGCCTAGAAAGTGTGTTGGATTATCTAGGTAAACCCTGCTCTCAGCTGAAATGTAGCTTTTCCCCTGACTTCCCTGACATTCTCACACTGCCTGTTTTCAGGAGCTCATCAGCTTTTAATGCTCAGCCTCAAATCCATTCTAGAATGATTGTAGCATTTATCAACAATTATGCAGTTCTTGATTTATGCAGATCCCAACAAGGTTTTGGGAAGTAAGAGATGAGCTACTGAGCATTTTCCCTGGTGGCGCTCATAGCCTGGTGGGAGATACGGGCACATACACACTTAGGATTCAACACGATTAGCTGTGTGTACAGAAGTTTAGTTTTATATGGGCGTGACACAGGTAAAGTCACCAGGGAAGGCGCAGTGAGGGGAGACATCAAGAAGGACGCAACTTCCAGTCTGGGTCTTTAGGGTTATATAGGAGTTCACTAAGTAGAAAAAAGAGGACTTGTCATTCACTTTTGGCAAGAGCCCCAGAGGCCTGGAGCGCATACTCCGTTCGGTATGACTGGGCCGGGGGAGGGCACATGGGAGGAGATGCCATGGGAAGGAGGTTGAAGCGAGAGTCGAAGTGGCGTAAGTAAGGAGCCACCAAAGGTCTTTATGTGGAAGAGCCACTGACCAGATACCAGCCTTAGAAAGAAAACTTGTACTGAGGCTTCAGGTGATCCTTCTTCATCTCCCAGATGGCATAAGCTTCGACTCAGAAACGTCAAGAAAATACTCAGAAGCTCAAGAAAATACTCAGGCAAGCTTAAATATTACTCTCAGGGCATGTTTGAGGCCCCTGTGGTAGCGTTGAGACGCACAAGAGGTGGAAGTGGGATGGCTGGGCTCTGCTTCCTGGGCTGCTGAGGACACCCTGCAGGGAAAGGAGTCTGGCCCGGAGGGCTCTCCACTGGGGCAGAGGAGGGACCCCCGGAGTCTCAGTCAGAAGAGCTGAGCAGCCCTGGGGCTTGGACATCTGAACTTCCGCTGCCTCAGCATCTTCCCCTGTGCCACCGTGCGGCTTGAACCTTGTCATCTTTATGCTTGTTTCCAGCCCCCAAATTGTGCCCAAGACAACACATTGTCCCCCTCGGCGCATCTGAAACACTACCTCCCATTTCAACCAGACATCTTTCCAGTCAGAATGGTTTGCCTTTCACTTTTCATTTTCCGCCTCAGATGCCTGGCAAGACCACATGGAGAGCACCCAGGGCAAGAGAAATTGGTGGGGCAGTGTGGGTGGGTGCTGACTGTGAATCTCCAGGAAATTGCCACATGCTAGGTCAGTGCCTGGTGCCTGCCCCTATCCTATTTAAAGAACCCTAGCTTGAGAACTTTCCTCTTGCTTGAAATACTGACCTACATTACTAGAAACAGGTAGTATCTGTTGACAGAAATCATGGGCAATGAGTTTATTTACCCAAGGGCAAGTCAACAAAACTATATGAGGCAATAGAGGGTGATTGTGCTGGTTGTAACAACTGTCAAGGGTATAAATCAATTGCGGCTCTTAGCTCCAAATAATGAGATTTAATATTTCGTCTTTCCAATACCTTTGATTTGCTACAATCACATTACTTTCTAAAATAAAGGTTCATTAGTAACAATCAATGCAAAGAAAATATCCCCCCAAAGTAACAAGATCAAAGAAAAACAGATGAAAGACTTCTCTTGAAAAGTTAGAATGGATGCCTGGTAACTCCTCCGATAATTTCCTGTTTACTTTTTTTTTTTTTTTTTTTTTTTTAACTTACTGGTCTTCTTTAGTATATTTTCCAGTAGCATATTTCCATACCCTAGTTCTTCCGGGAGATTTTGGTACTAGCAGATTTCCCAGCCCACATTATTAAAAGTCAATTCATGACTTCTGATTGAAACATTCTTTTACACAAACTGCCAAAAAAGTTTATGGTTTCCTTAATATGCCTGTCAAAGCCGGTACATTACAGGGCCCCCGCACTTGTTAGAAGACAGAAATTGCGGGAAAGTTAAATGGAGTGAGGGAGCTGGAGCGGGATTGGCCGGCTGCAGGGAAAGCCTGCCAAGCCCCCCCACACCCCGCGCAAAATTACAATTCTAATTTCGTCTCCTTCTTTCGCAGAAAGGACTAGGTTTTCTGGGTGTCACCCCCCCCCCACTCCCCGGCAGAGTTCTGTAGCCTCGGGCACTGAACAAGCCTGGCTATCCTCGTTCCCTGGGGTGGAAAGCAGGGAGGTAGCTTACCCCAAGCCAGGCTGGTGGGAAGGAGCATGATCACCAGGGCAAAGGCGAGGGCAGCCCGGGGAGCCTTCCTGTCAGCTCGCCGCCCGGGCATGATGCTGCGCTGGGCTTCAGCCTCCCTGAAACCTGAACATTTCCTGTTTCCTGCTTGTTTGGGTCGGTGCTAACTCGAAGGAGAGGTGTTTGCCTGTTTTTTAGGAAGTGATGTAATTCTGCAGGAGCCTGTCAGACCAGCAAGGATTGCAAAAGAGAAGTTGTTCTGCAAGCACTGATTCAGTTAGCAAGGTCTCTTGAGCCCTTTTCAGTCCTGGCCCCGTTGCCGGCCCCCATCTTTTGAAACTGTCTCTTAGAAACGGTGTCCATAGCTCAGCTGTCCTTTGGGTCCCGGGACTGAGGCTCCTGGACCACAAGCATTCTCTATTGGTGATTTTACTCCACCCAGGTGAGTCTCTAGGGCTGCCCAGAGTCTAGATCCGTGCCATCCAGTAGAACTTTCTGAGATGATGGAAAGGTCCCAAATCTGTCCAATACAGTAGCCATTAGCTACATAGGCTATAGGGTACTTCAGATGAGACCAGCGCAAAATGAATGTGTAGTTTTATTTTTATTAATTTAAATTAAAAGAACTCCGCATGGCTAGCAGCTGCTGTGTTGGACAGCTTAGGCCTAGCGAGCAGGGGCACCTGTAGCACCAGCAAATGGCCAGGACACTTCTCTCCAACCAGGCACATCACCGTCCCTGGGCCCTGAATGCCACCTCCTTCATAGGGAGGTAAAGGACAATGCTATACACATGCCCGAATGTGCTCTGCTTCCCCGGAGAGAAATGATTTCTATTATTCTTATTTGTTTTCTTTATAAAGCCTTTGTGTTTTTAGAGCAGTTTTAGGTTCACAGCATAATTCAGAGGAAGGTGCAGAGATGTCCCATACACTCCCTAACCGCCCCCCCCACACACACACACAGCCTCCCATTATCAACATCTTCCAAAAGTGGTACAATTTTGTTACAATGGATGAACGCACACTGATACATCATAATCACCCGAAGTCCACAATTGACATTAGGGTTCTCTCACGTGTCGCACATTCTATGGGCTTGGCAAATGTATAATGACATAAATCCACCATGATAGTATCCTCTGGAATAGTTTCTCTGCCCTAAAAATCCTCCATGCTTCACCCATTCATCCCTCCTTCCACCCTAACCCCAGGCACCCACTGATCTTTTTACTGCCTCCACAGTTTTGCCTTTTCCCAAATGGAGTATGGTTGGAATCATGCGACATGTAGGCTTTCAGATTGGTTTCCTTCACTTAGTAATGTGTGTTTAAGCTTCTTCCATGTCATGGCGCCTGGGTGGCTCAGTTGGTTAAGTGTCTGCCTTCGGCTCCGGGTCATGATCTCAGGGTCCTGGGATCGAGTCCTGCATTGGGCTCCCTGCTCAGTGGCAAGTCTGCTTCTCCCTCTCCCTCTCCTCATGCTCTCTCTCCCTCTCTCAAATAAATAAATAAAATCTCAAAAAAACCTTTCCTCCATGTCTTTTCATGGCATGATAGCTCATTTCTTGTTGGCGCTAAATAACAGTCCATTGTCTGAATGTACCAGTTATTAATTCATTCACCTACTGAGGACATCTTGGTTGCTTCCAAGTTTTGGCAATTATAAATAAAGCTGCCAGAAACATCTGGGTGCATTTGTGCAGATATAAGTGTTCAACTCCTTTGGGGAAATACCAAAGGGCTTGATTGCGGGATCTATGGTAAAGAGAAATGATCTTTTAAAGGGCCCATTTCTGAAGCAGAATATGTTTTCAGGGAGAAAAAAAAAATCTTCATTTCGCTTTTCTTCCTTCATACACAACAATGAATTTCTCAGAGGTGGTTAGCAAACAAAATAGAACTGAGTTGGATTAGAATGGGGGTGGAAATCCTGCCCAGTGGAAACAATGCAGGAAGGAGGCGTCTGTTTAGACCCACAAGCAGGGGAGATTAGAGTGTGTTAGGTTTTTGTGTTCTAATTGAAGTCCTTCCCTCGGTTTAGGTTTAGGGCCTAGGCAGCACAGGATGACATTTCATAATCATGTTTGCAGTACTGCCAAGAAAGAGCGAGAGAGAAAGAGAGGCATCAGAAACCCAGCTGGTCTCTAACCCCCTGCCTGCAGGTACCATGAGTCACCGCCTTCCAGTCAGTTCATCTCTGGTGCTCCGGTTGCTGTGAACACTCCCGGCAACTGGAATTCCTCAGCCCCTGACACCAGCCATCCGTTTTGGGGTTTAGTGCATGGTTGCTTTTCAGCGACATTAGTCACTGTTTATCTCCGTTCTTACTCACAAGAAATGGGTTGGTGATTCATGAAATGTTCAGTTTGTTCACGGATCCACAGGATGCATTTCACTGTTTTAAACCGGCTTAAGTCAACTGACCCAAGATGCTCTGCAGCGTAGGTGACGACGCAGAGCACACAGCTGGAGAAAGCAGACAAGTCCAACACTGGATGACGGATCTGAAAACAGGGCGGGAAGTCTCGCGGAGCAGTGCGCAGACCACGGGCGCGGACGTGCCGCGCCACGTCTGGCGCTGAGTCTGGCTGCCGTTCCCGGTCCCAGCACGCACTCCCGCCGCTGTCACACCCGCGTGCTGGAGGGGACGCCCAGGGCTGGGGGTCTCCTCCCTTCGGCCGTTCGCACCCTAGTAGGACTAGTGGTGGACGCCGGGCTGCAGGCACGCGTTCGGCCAGGGCGGGGAGTCAGCCTTGGTTTCTTCAATTTTAAAAGGACAGCTCGCCAGGGGGCTTTGCAGAATCCGGTATCTGTGGCCGGACCACACCGAGGACTCTTCGGCGGCAGAGTCGGGCGGCTCCGCACGATCTCTCCGAGTGTGCCGGGCATGGCTCCTGCGCACCCATGTAATTTTCTTTTGACCCCTTAGTGTGATTAAGCTTATCTTAAGGGGGAGGAAAATTACCATCATTGATCAGAAAATTGTAGCACCTCAGTGATCTCTTTGCTGCCGTTAAAATCACAGGGAAGCTGTGTGCTAGGTAAAGGCTATTTACCTGTGTTTGTTCTAATTTTACTAACCATTAATTTTGGCAAGCGGCTGCCTGGCTTCGGATTAAATCCTGATACACTTGTAACTAAAGGGAAGTCAGGGCCCTGGTCACAACGATGAGACACCGGGGAGGCTCCGGAGCCAATGGCAGGCACAGAGGCAGGGGATAACCTCGTCCTGGTGCCTGCCATTGGCTTTCAACGATGAAAGGAGAAAAGGAGGTCGTGAAGTATGGTGACTGGGCAACGCTCTGAGGCCTTGTCGGGCTCAAGAGGGCTGGAGAGGGGGTGGGGGGACTGGTTCTAGGTTCTAGGACTCTATTAGTTCACACAAAAGTTTGGCTTTTATCATCAACGGTCTGTATCACAGAAGTGACTCTCATTCAAATCCTCCTCCCTTCCCTCCTGCTTCCTCCCTGCCCAACCCTCCCTTCCCATCAGCCCTACAAGAGGAGGGGCAAGGGAACGAACCCAGAAGTGATGAGATCTCACAGTGAGTGCAGGCTCGTACACACATGCTTCTCCACGCTCCTGCACGCTGCGGAAATACATGAAGATGATCCAAATGAGAACAAGCAAAGACTGTCGATTCCAAGCTTGCTGGAGCAAGGGAGTCGGCCACCATCACTTGCATTTTGGCCGAGGCTCAAAGGCAGGCACAGGAGTGGGAAAACTTGATAGCGGGAAAAAGAGAAGGTTTCATGTATGCTCTGATAGCAGAGGCTGTTGGCATGAGGAACCAGAAACAAGTTCTAATTATTGGTTCTAGTGACTGGCTAGGGGGTGCATATTTGGCTTCTCCCAACTTGGAAGAGGGGATAAAAGTAGGGGCCATTGTTACAAGGATTATTGTTTGGCTTCCTGGACCAGTTACTAGAGATAGGGTCTGACTTGTACATGTTTGATTTACAGCAGGCTGGCTTCCTGAGTTGTTTGCTACAGACCGTGGGTTACAGTTTTATTATTACATATACAGTCTGGCCTTTGTCCATTTATATATCGTCTCTCAACACACACCCACAGGCATACTCACACAAAAACTCCACCCACACCGAGACACATGCACACACTTTCTGGGGCTTCTTTCTCTGTCTAAATGCTAGATGGTGGCAGCTGAAGGTCTGCAGTGCTTGCTTAATAAAGAAGGTCCTCAGACATGGTAATTGTAAGAGCAGGTGGGTGTGTAATCACTGAAGCTGATTGAGAGGGTGTAGGGAGCAGGCTAAGGTCCCAGGCTCTGAAAGGAGTGCCCATACAGATAAGTGGGCAGGGCAGGGCTGGGGCCAAAGGGTTAAACTGAACCCCAGAGTGTGCAGAGAGGCTATAGCCAGGAGAGGGGCTGACAGCAATTCCGCCATGTCTTGGTTAGCTTGGGCTGCCATACAAAATACCACAGACTTTTACACTTGACCTTTGAACGACACAGGGCATAGGGGCACTGACCCCCCACACAATCAGAAATCCATGTGTAACTTTTGACTCCCCCAGAACTTAACTACTAGCAGCCTACTGTTGACCGGAAGCCTTATGGATAACACAAATAATCCATTAACATCAATTTTGTGTATGTATTATAGACCACATTCTTGCACTAAAGTAAGCTAGAGAGAAGAAAATGTTAAGAAAATCATAAGGAAGTATGGAATCAGAAAAGACCCCAAATAGCCAAAGGAATTTTGAGAAAGAAAAGCAAATCTGGTGGCATCACAATTCCGGACTTCAAGCCCTATTACAAAGCTGTCATCATCAAGACCGTATGGTACTGGCACAAAAACAGACACATAGATCAATGGAACATAATAGAGAGCCCAGAAATGGACCCTCAACTCTGTGGTCAACTAATCTTCAACAAAGCAGGAAAGAATATTCAGCCGAAAAAATACAGTCTCTTCAACAATGGTATTGGGAAAATTGGACAGCCACATGCAGAAGAATGAAACTGGACCACTTTTATACACTATACACAAAAATAAACTCAAAATGGATGAAAGACCTAAATTTGAGACAGGAATCCATCAAAATCTTAGAGGAGAACACAGACAGCAACTTCTTTGACCTCAGCTGGAGAAACTTCTTGCTAGACACATCTCCAAAGGCAAGGGAAA